ACTTGATTTTCTGGGGCACAATTGTGAATGGGATTGTTTTTTTCATGTTGCTTTCTTCTCTCTCACTGTTTGCATATAGGAAAGCCATGGACTTTTGGGTATTGATTTTATAACCTGCAACTTTACTATACGAGTCTATTGTTTCTAGGAGTTTTTTGGTGGAAGTTATTGGGTTCTCTAAGTAGAGTATCATATCATCTGCGAATAGTGAGAGCTTGATTTCTTCCTTTCCTACATGAATGCCCTTAATATCTTTTTCCTGCCTAATCGTCATTGCAAGTACTTCCAGTACTATATTGAACAGCAGTGGAGAGAGTGGGCATCCCTGTCTCGTCCCTGATCTTAGAGGGAAGGCTCTCAGTTTTTCCCCATTGAGGATGATGCTTGCTGTAGGCTTGTGGTAGATGGCTTTAATTATGTTGAGGAAGGTCCCCTCTATACCCATTTTGGCTAGAAAAATTGCAACTTCTTTTGATGTAGTCCCATTTGTTTGTTTTTGTTTTGATATCTTTACCAACAGTGTCAAATCATTGAAAACAGCTCTGAGGTGCATAACTTGGAAAATCCTGCTTGTCTCCCTCAGTGTATTTTAATGAATTATGGTCTAATATTTATGTCTTTAATCCATGTTGAATTAACTTTTGTGGGTAGCATGAGATGCAGTTTCATATTTTTGCACATGGTTATGAATTTCTCCAGCACCATTTGTTGAAGACACTTTCTCTGTTCTACTTAATGCCTCCAACTACTTAGTCAAAGATGACCTGTCCATTAATCTGAGGTTTTATCTCTGGGTTCTTAATTCTTCCATTGATCTAAGAATCTCTATTGAATACCATGCCATTTTGATTAGTATAGGTTTATGGTATAATTTAAAGTCATAAAATTCAAAACATCCCATGTTATTCTTTCTCAAAATGTCTTTGGTTTTTTTTTAAATTTTTTTTGGTTTTTTGAAGAGTTTTACTATTCCATAAAAATTGTAGTAGATTTTGTTCTAAATGAATAAAGAATGTCATGGGAATTTAATAGACACCACGAAATCTATATAATGCTTTAGGTAGGATGATTATTTTTGACAAAGTTGCTTCTTCCAGTTAATAAACCTGATTTTTTCCATCTCTAGTGTCCTCTTCTATTTATTTCAATCATAATATAGTTTTCAGTATGTAATAATTGCATCAATAAAGGACTAGTATTATATATATATCCAATATGCTCTCAAAGCTCAGCAACATTATAATCTATCATCTATCTATCTATCTATTTATCAACAATGCTGTCTCAAAGCTCATCAGCAAGAATAAAAAATCCAATAATTTCATTTTTTAAATTGGGGAAAGAACACAAAAGGGCACTTACTAAAGATGATGAATGGATGTCCAGTAGGCAAATGAGGCAATATTCAATATCACTTACTATCTAGAAACGAAAATAAAAACATCAATGAGATACCATAGCACACCAATGAGTATGGAATATTATTAAAAAGCTTGAAAACGACCAGTGTTGGTCGGGATATGTTGAAAAAGGAACCTTCATTCACTGTTGGTGGAAATCCTATTTGGTTCAGTCTCTGTGGAAAACAATATGGCAAATCATAGTAAAGAATAGAAGTCCTGTATGACATAGCTATTTCACTTCTTGGCATTCACCACCCAAACACAGAAATGTTAAATAAAAAAGTTATATGAAAATCTATGTTCATTGCGGCATGAAACACAATAATGAGGATATGGAAACATCTGTCCAATGACATGAATAAAGAAGTTGTGTCATACGTGCACAATGGAGTAAGAAAATCTGACAGTTTAAAAAGATGAAATTTATAAGAAAAGATGAAATCTTTGCTTCAATGCACAGGGAACTGGAGGGTATCATTAAATAAGCCAAATGAAGAAGAACAAATACCAGATGATCTTGCACATCTTTGCCTTAGAGAGAGATGAAAAAGAGAACAGACAGTATAGAACCCTTGGCCTTGAATTAAAAAATGCAAATTATCAAGCAGTTAGGGCCACTGATTGTGTGTGAGGAGGGATTGAAGAGATAGACTAGGGGTGACCTAGGACCAGTGGCAGAAAGTTGTGGGCACTTTGCTGATGTTGGCAAACAATAACTTGGCACATAAATATTATAAGCATTAACACTATTGTACCCATTATAAGAACTATGTAAATTTTTCTATCAAAAAGAAAATCTCGGGGATATGGTGCCGCCAGCAGGTCAGTCTGTACCTGTGAGGCAAGTGCATCAGCAGCCTGATGGCGCCTTCAGACTTCCAGATACCCCAAAATTGCTGCTGTGCCTTTGGCCAGACCCCAAAAACTTGGGGCAAAGTTTACTAAGAAAGTAAATGGCCAAAAGTTAGGTATGTGGGAAACACACCCACAAACCACCTCCAGCTCAGCTATATAATTGGAGGCAAGGCCTCTTTGGTTCCTGATTGAACTGCTTAATGGCCATGATCCTAGAGACTCAGAAATGAATCTCGGAACCCAGTGGCTTTAGGTAGAAATGTGTCCGGTCTCTGCAGTAGGCTACCAGTGCTGGGCCAACCCAGGTGGGAATAGGATTCATGCCTTGGCCTGTTCCCCCTGGCGGCCCAGTGGCCGCCATCCATCTGAGGCCACTGGATAGTCACATTTGGGCCCCCAGTGACGAGACACACAGGGCCTCACGGGATGGGGGTGAAGCCGGGCTTGTCTTCCCCACCCCAACGAGACCCCAAGTTATCGCCCACAAACGGCCTCTCTGGCTCCTCATCAAGCTGCTCAACGGCTGTGATCCCAGAGACTCAGAAACAAATCTCTAAACCCAGCAGCTTTTGGCAGAAATGTGTCTGGACCCCGCAGTAGGTTACTGTCGCCGGGCCACCCCAGGGGGGGAAAGGGTGCTGTCCCTCCGCCTGTTTCCTTCTGGCGGCTCGGTGGCCGTCATCCTCCAGAGGCCACTGACAGTCAGGCTTGGGCCCGCAGTGATGAAACTTGTTGGGCCTCACGGGATGGGGTGGAGCCGGGCCTGTCCTCCCCACCCCAAAGAGACCCCAAATCATCGCCCACAAACGGCCTCTCTGGCTCCTGATCAAGCTGCTCAACGGCCATGATCCCAGAGACTCAGGAGCAGATCTCGAAACCCAGTGACTTTTGGCAGAAATCCCTCCAGATTTAAGTGTTAAAATTTCAGAATTTCAAAACCACATGGCCCTACTGCAGCCATGCGACATCATATGTTATTTATAACCAGCAATAGAACACAAATTGTCTATTGTTGCCTTTTCAGCAGATCTGAGTGTTGGGGTAAAATCTCAAATAATAATGGTGGGTCTGGTGTCAAAATATTGAATGTGATCAAAGTAGAGAGAGAGTAATGTGGAAATCATCTGCCCCACAGGTAGGGGGAGGGGGTGGGATGGGGGTATACTGGTGGTGGAGAATGGGCACTGGTGAAGGTACGGGTGTTTCATTGTATGACTGAGACTTAGACCCAAAAGCTTTGTAACTGCTCTCACGGTGATTCAATAAATAAAATTATTTCATTTCATTTCATCATCCTGTTAATCGTCGATTGCCTCGAGCAGGCCCCAGTAACGTCTCTTTCATCCTAGCCCTGAGATTATATTCAGGGCTCTTTAGGAGAATGAGACCCATCATTGTTACTGGTATTTGGCATATTTGGTAGGCCACGGGGAGTTTGCCAGACTCTGCCCTGTGGGCAGGCTACATTCGACAGCCTGCAAGTTTGTCCAAAGTAGGAATGAGATAATAAGATGTCGCGCGGCCGCGAATGCGGCCGCGCGGTTCCGGGATCTGGATTTTATAGTCTCTGAGTCTTGGCCGCTGATGGGATTACACGGCGCCAGGGGGCCAGGTGGTGGGTGTGACCCCCGCCTACTGGAATTTGGAGGATCTGGGTGGAAGATGCTCGACTCCAATTCGAGTAGGCTTGGAGGTCTCGGCCCCGGAACCCGCGTGGCTTTGTCCCTCTGCCAGTACCTTCAGGTGTGCGGAGAGTGGTCTCAGCATGGTGGTGGCTGGTCCTGGAGGTCTCCAGTTGCCGTAGCCCTGGCCGGGGCGGGGAGGAAAGCTCAACCCGCTCCCCTCCAAGGGACTCCGGGAAGGAACACCGAGGCGCGGGGGCAGAGACTGCACTGCTCTCGTCCGGGATCTGGATTTTATAGTCTCTGAGTCTTGGCCGCTGATGGGATTACACGGCGCCAGGGGGCCAGGTGGTGGGTGTGACCCCCGCCTACTGGAATTTGGAGGATCTGGGTGGAAGATGCTCGACTCCAATTCGAGTAGGCTTGGAGTAAATAAAATTATAAAAAATAAAAAAAAAAGTTAAGGTGGAGTTCATGCACAATTCAATCAGCTAATCAGTGGCTGAATAAATAGCAGTACTCCTACAAAAAAAAAAAGAAAATCTCACCTTTTTCTTGAAATAACTATATAAGGAACTATGTAAGAAAATCATTAACCTATTTTCAAAATCAAGATAAATTAACCATATATATTAAATCTCTTAGAAGAAAGTTCCCACAGCCCAAAATATGTTTGCACTTTATTAAATGGCATTTTTTTCTGATGAGTGCAGAAACTCAATAAAATTCTGCATAAAGTTGAAAATGCCTTGAGAGTTATGAATTTTCCTTCAATCTAATCATGAATTTTTTGATTTGTTATGTGGCCACACCTGGCGATGCTCAGTGGACCTTATGGGATTATTTGGGCTGAGGATCGAACCTGGGCCGTTCGTTTGCTTGCAAGGCAAATTCCCTACCTGCTGTTAATCATATGATTTTTAAAAAGTAAATTGTCATCATAATTTAGCTAGCATGCTTACACTATCGTTAACATGTTTTTGGTGCACAACATTATTAAACCGCACCACTACCCAAGTGCCCAAATAGCTCCACTTGGGGGGGGGGGGGGGGTCCGGAACAGTGCTCTCTGCGCAGGCGCACACGTATGCCGGCAGCTCCCGCGGAGTCCCCGCCCCCTCGGGGGCGTCACGTGGGCTAGCCCGTGCGGAAGAGCCGGGAGGCCGTGTCACGTGATGCGCGTCCCCGGAATGGAGCTGCAAGAAGGAACACCCTTGTGGCGGCTGCAGAAACTCCCCGGGGAGCTGGGTCCGCAGGTGAAGCGGGCGCAAGGGCTGTGCGCGCGGGTCGGGGTGTGCACGGGCCAGATCGGGCCTCCCTGGACGCCTGCCCGGCTCGCTGGGGCTGATTGGGAAAGGCGGGGAAGGGGGCGTGATCGCGGCCGCCGGCTTCGCGCAGGCCTGGGTGTGGGGTTTGGAGGTACCCAGTGGGGCGCCCGGCGATCGGGGGCTGGGGCAGCGCAGGGGGCACGACAGGTGTTGAAGAACGCGGACTCCCTGGAGTTTGCAGCTTCCTGGAGGTTTCATCCATTCGTTCAATACCCGGTTCACTCTGGCACCGGGACACAGTGCTGGGTGCGGGGGGTGGGAGTGGGGGGGTGGGGTGGGAGTGTCGTGGATACTGGGATGATCTAGACTAGCAGGTCCAGCCCCTTAAGGATGCGTGGGATGTGCACCCACATGAGAGAGAGAAAGTGCATCCTATACCCAGAGATTGGCTTTAGGGAATGGGTTCCCATAGGCCAGTTCTAGGCCCGCAAGCGGTAGTCGATGGGCCGGAGAGATAGTACTGTGATGCTTGCCCTGGCACAAGGGTCTCCCCGTTTCCATTCCCGGTACCACTTAGGGTCTCCCGAGCCCCCTCAAGGAGTGATCCCTGAGCACAGAGCCAGAAGGGAGCCCAGAGCCCCACTACGTGCGGCCCCTTCAGCCCCTCAGAAGAAAGGCAGAAGTAGTGTTATGTTGGACCATCGCATCCAAGAAGCATGCTGGATGGTGATTCTTCCTGGTTCCTTGGCTCTGCATCATTTCTTTGAGATCATCCCTGTCCAAGCCGACCAGGGTCTTGGCAATGCTTGTTCTGAAGATGGGAAACTGAACTCGAGTTACCCGTTTGTGGGAGGGATAGCAACCCAAGTTTGAAGCCTCGAGGGCAGACTTTAATTTTATCCTTACCTACTTTAAACAGGTGATCTACAGTACTGTTACTGGTAGGGCTTTGTGGGTACAAAGTTCTACCACCACTCCCTCCCCCAGGGTGTCTGCATCTCTCCTGGTCCCAGGGTTCCAGTTTCAGCTCCCCATCCTACCCCCACCCCTCAAGCTCTCTTCTGTGGGCCAGGCCCCAATTCTTTGTTTTCTATTGTCTTTGGGGGTTTGCCATTTGCTTACCACCATGACTCTTTATATCCCACGTTTGTAACAGATCACTGTGTCTGTCCCTATCCTGGGTAACTCTCACGATTTCTAGGTACAGCCCTGAAGGATGGGTCGAAGCCCTTCGAAGCATAAGGGGAGTAAAGTGCCCTGGGTAGAGGGATAGAAACGACAAAGACTTCTTGGAAGAAAGACCACTGGAGGTTTTTTTTGGGGGGGGGGGCGCAAGGGGTCTCTTATGGTTCTTAAAGGCTGGAGGTTTCTTTTTTGTTGTTGTTGCATTTTGGGTCACACCTGGCTATGCACAGGGGTTACTCCTGGCTCTGCACTCAGGAGTTACTCCTAGCGGTGCTTAGGGGACCATATGGGATGCTGAGAATCGAACCTGGGTTGGCCGAATGCAAGGCAAACGCCCTACCCGCTGTGCTATCTCTCCAGCCCAAGGCTGGAGTTTTACGTCCAAATTAGAACTGGGATGCCAGTTGGGAGCTTGTCCTTATAGCAAAGACACTGGTAGCATATATTTTGTTTTGATTTGTTTTTGTTTGCGGGATCCACACTCAGAGATGCTCTGATCCTCAGGGGTTACTCCTGCCTTTGCACTCCGGAATTACTCTGGCCTCATGCTCATGGGACCATATGGGATACCAGGGATAGAACCCTGGTTGGCAGCGTTGAAGGCAAGTGCCCTACCTGCTATACTATCTCTCCGGCTTCTATAATGTTTTTTGACAACGGCAAAATTTTAGTGTTTGAAAGATGAAGTAGGGAAGTAGTAAATAGAGGAAAACCTAGTGGTTACTCCCAGAGGAAAATCTGAGCTTCTTCCCTTTTCTCTCTCTTTTTCTAATCCTTGAGCTTTATTTTTATTATTTCTTTTTGGTTTGGAGTATACATGTAATTGTGCTGAGGGACTACTCCAGGCTTTGTGTTTAGGGTGTCATTCAGTGTGTGTGTGTGTGTGTGTGTGTGTGAGAGAGAGAGAGAGAGAGAGAGAGAGAGAGAGAGAGAGAGAGAGAGAGAGAGCATGTTTTGGAAATCAAAGGGATAAACCACACCAGGATTCACTACCAGGATCTCACCATTCTACAAAGAAGTGATCGTTGATGTCAAGAGAGGGGTGCGGCAGGGTGATACCATTTCACCGAAACTCTTCAGTGCCACCCTCGAGAACATCATGCGACGACTGGAATGGGAAGGAATGGGAGTGAAGATAGATGGTCGGCAACTACCCTCCTCCGCTTTGCTGATGACATTGTTTTAATAACACCAAACATCAGCCAAGCGGCACAAATGCTGGCCGACTTTGACCGTGAGTGTGGAAAGGTAGGACTACAGCTGAATCTTACGAAGACAATGTTTATGAGAAACAGCCTTGTTCCTGACGCCCCATTCGCTCTCAATGGAACGACCATCTCCGAATGCAACAGCTATGTGTACCTAGGTCGAGAGGTCAGCATGAGAAATGACCTGGCACCCGAGCTGCGCAGGAGGAAGAGAGCGGCTTGGAACGCCTTCAAGAACGTCGAAGAACTAGCTAAGAGGACGAAGAACCTCCGGCTCCGGGCACATCTCTTTGATTCCACTGTTCTTCCTGCATTAACATATGCCTCAGAGACCTGGGCCCTACGCAAACAAGATGAGAACGCCATTCAGGTCTCCCAAAGAAGAATAGAAAGAGCTATGCTTGGAATATCACGTTTCACTCAAATGAGAGAACGAATCCGGAGTTCTGACATCCGTCGACGATCAAGGATCAGGGACGCTGTCTCATATGCCAAGGTGTCGAAAATCAGATGGGCTGGTCACGTAATGAGATTTAAAGACGACCGTTGGACTAGAGCTGTTACTGATTGGATTCCACGGGATGTCAAGAGACCGCGTGGCCGCCCACCTACCAGATGGTCAGACTTCTTTGTCAAGATCACGAACGATCGGTTTGAGGCCCTCCATGTTCCCGGAGCGAAGAGATGCCATTGGGCTACACTAGCACACGACAGGGACAAATGGAGACGTTACTGGCGCCCGCTCGAGCAAATCGACGACTAACGGGAAGTTAAGTGATTATTATTATTAAACCACACCAACTTCTGTAGTATCTCCCTAGTTCCTTAGTCCTTTAGATTTGAAGCAAAAATCTAATATTATAAAAGCAGAAATGGGCCAGAGTGGGTATGGCATTTGCCTTGCACTAACCAGACCTGAGTCTATCTCCTACATCCTTTGTGGTCCCCCACACCCTGCCAGGAATAATTACTGAGCATAGAGTAACCTCTGGGCACCTCTGGGTGTGCCCTCCCACTCCTTAGATATGTGTGTGTGTGTGTGTGTGTGTGTGTGTGTGTGTCACGGTCACAATCACGGTCCTCCCGTTGTTCATCGATTTGCTCGAGCGGGCCCAGTAACGTCTCCATCATGAGACTTGTTGTTACTGTGTTTGGCAAATCGAATACATCACGGGTATTTAAGAAATTTGCGTTCTGTGCAATGAAAGCAATGCATGAAAACTTGAACTTCAACCTTGAACTGTAATAGCCATGACATTCTTGACCTAAGACTACAAAACACATTGTAGTTTTTAAATCTGTTATTATCTTTAGTCATGGCCCTTGTGGGGAAGCTTACCTTCTGGCCTCATTAAGTTTTCTTTGAACCTGACTTCTTAACTGATCACTTTGTCTCTGCTCTGTTACTCTGAATTCCTTCAGGGTAGGTTTCTTTAGGTTTACCTCAGAAATAAAACATGTTTGTTTTTTGACCACTGTGATAGAGTAGACTTTTATTTTTAATTTTCCTGTTGTTTGTAAAAAGTTTTTTTTTTTTTTAATTTATTGGTGTCTGTTAGGTGTAGTTACTATTTGGTCTTAAAGTACTTATAGTTGATAGATCTCTACTAAAAATCTTTTCTAAGAATCATAATAACTGGCAAAAATGGTACCTAGCAAAAATAGTAAGAAATTCCAAGATAAAATTAAAATTGAAATAGCATTGTATTATAACATTATACTTCTTGAGGTGTGCATCATTAAGAATCAACATGTAGGCTGGAGTGACAGTACAGTGGGTAGGGCAGTTGACTTGCACATAGCCATACTAGGTTTAATTTCCAGCATCCCATGTGTTCCTCTGAGCACCCCAAGAACGATCCCGGAGTGCAGAGCCAGGAGCATGCCCTGAGCACTACTGCTACTGCACTTTCTTTCAGACCTCCATGTGAAAGAAAGAAAGAAAGAAAGAAAGAAAGAAAGAAAGAGGAAATCAGCATGTGTATCTGTTCACTGAAAGACCCCTCTGTTCTTCCTCCAAGGGTCTCCTTTGTCCTGATTTATGCACTCCCTCATTCCCATTTTATGACCACTAATTGATCCTATGGTTCACATACTCATTTTGGTTTTATTTTGTTCATCTGTTGTTTCCTTTAACATATCACATGAAAGAAGTCATGTAGTGTTTTTCTTTGTAAGGTTTATTTCATTAAGCATCTGTTACAGATGTCTAGAGTTCTTCTTTTTGTAAGTTGCTGAATAGTGTTTGCCCATTTGGCAATTGCTGGGCACTTGGTAGTTTCTTATTTTTATAAATATTTTTTTTTGGGAGTGAACTTGTCTCTTCTTTTTTTAAAAAATTTATTTATTTATTTATTTTTATTTTTTTATTAGTGAAACACCATGAGGTACAGTTACAGACTTACAAATTTTTGTGCTTGGGTTTCAGTTGTACAATGATCAAGTACCCATCCCTCCACCAGCGCCCATCCTCCACCACCACAGGTCCCAGCATCCCTCCTGCCCCCCATCTCCCCTTCCCACCCTGCCTCTGTGGCAGGGCATTCCCCCTTGTTCTCTCTCTCTTCTTTTGAGTCCTGTGTTTTGCAAGAGAGGCATTGAGTGGCAGTCATGTTTGGTCTATAGTCTACTTTCAGCATGCTTTTCCCACCCTGGGAGGATCCTCACAACACCCTTTATTTGGTGCTCTCTTCTCTATCTAAGCTTCCTTTTCCCATAGCACGTGTGGCTGGCCTCCCAGTCATGGAGCAGAATTCCTGGTACTAATCTTGGCCACACCTAGGTATTAGTCTCCCATTTTTTTGCTTTATGTTCCCCAGATGAATACAATCTTTCTGTGTCTATCCCGCTCTTTCTGATTCACTTCACTTAACATGATACTTTCCATGTAGTACCACTTGTATGTAAATTTCATGACTTCATCTTTTCTAACAGTTAGATAGTACTCCATTGTGTAAATGTACCAAAGTTTCTTTAACCAGTCATCTGTTCTCGGGCACTCAGGTTTTTTCTAGATTCTGGCTATTGTAAAGAGTGCTGCAATGAACAAACAAGTGCAGATGTCACTTCAACTATACTTTTTTGCCTCTCCGGGATATATTCCCAGGAGTGGTATGCTGGGTCAAATGGGAACTCAATTTCTAATTTTTTTGAATCATTCATACTGTTTTCCAAAACGGTTGGACCAGTCGGCATTCCCACCAGCAGTGAAGGAGGATCCCTTTCTCGCCACATCTGCGCCAGCACTGGTTGCTTTTGTTCTTGTGGATGTGGGCCAGTTTCTGTGAATATTGTTTATTGGGGGTGGACATGTCTCTTCAAATTAGTACTTTTGTGTTTTTCTGGTAAATACCCATAAGTGGGATAACTGGATTCTATGAAATTTCTATTTTTAATGTTTTGAGGCACCTCTAATTCTGTTCTCCCTTATGGCTTCACTTGTTTACATTTTTGGTGTTTACAGATTATCTTGTATTTCTTTAATCTCTGCAACACTAATTTCTTGTCTGTTGAATAACAGCCATTCTCCTGGGTGTGAGGTGATACCTAATTATCATTTTGTGTTATATTTCTTTTATGATAAAGAGTATCATCTGCCTATTGGTAGTCTGTTTTTTGGGAAATATCCAGATCTTCTCTCTGTTTTAGTTGTTTTTTAATTTAAGTTTTATGCACTCGTTGCATATTTCACATATTAATCCAGTGTGAAACTTCTATTAACATCTTCCATGAATATTGAAGAAACAACAATGTGTCTTTAAAATTATTTTAGCTTCTGAAGGTGGGCAAAATTAGAGAAAGTATTGGGGTTTTTTTGTTTGTTTTTTTAGTGAAGCTCTAATTCTTATAAGAATAGTGTTAAAAGTTAAATTTCAACGTCAGCTGTTTTGCAGATAACATAAACTGCTAACAATATTTGTTTGCTATACAGATCTGTTTTATTATCTTACTGATATTTGCATTTACTTTCTCTTTTTCTCTTTAGTTACTCCACAAAGTAATTGATGGCATTTGTGGCCAAGCTTTTCCTCTCTATCAAGATTACCAGAATGTCTGGGATTCAGCAGAATGGACATATGTTCTAGAAGATATCACCAAATTTTTCAAAGTTGCAGTTGGTAAAAATTTATCTGATGAAGAGGTGACGTTACATCAAATTTCTAAACCCTATAATAAATAGTAAATGGGCTTCTGAATTGGTCTTTAGGGCACAAAGTAAGGGTCAGTAAGTATATAGTATAGAGAATCATTTAAGCATATTTAGACTAAGGTCAGTAAGTTTATCGTATAGAGCATCATAAGCATATTTGTACTAAAGTTCTGGATGTATATTTTGTCTTTTTTATATTTTAAAATTATATTTTAAGCATCATATGGAGGAATACCAAAAATTTTCTAACCAGCACCTATAGGCCTATTACCACCATTAAACAAGTGTTAATACTATAAGTGTTTCAGAAGTGTGTGTATAATAACACCTAAGTTTGCTAACCTCACATTAGAGATCACTCTTTTTGTGTTCTGTATTATTATATAAATATTTTCTGTTGTTTGTTGATTGCCTCGAGCAGGCCCCAGTAACGTCTCCTTCGTCCTAGCCCTGAGATTTTTAAAAAAGTGCCATATTAAAAGCTCTTCCAGGGTTAGGAGAATGAGACCCAAACATTTTCTATATTTTAAAAATATTGCATCTTTTAGGAGTGTATACAATTATTTGAGTCATCCAAATAGCACAGTGGTAGGGCATTTGCCTTGCGCACAGCTGGCCTGACCAAGCCCGGTTCGATTCCTCTGCCCATCTCGGAGAGCCTGGCAAGCTACAGAGAGTATCTCGCCTGCATGGTAAAGCCTGGCAAGCTACCCGTGACGTATTCAATATGCCAGACACAGTAACAACAAGTCTCACGATGGAGACGTTACAGGGCTCACTCGAGCAAATCGATGAACAGTGGGAGGACCGTGACTGTGTAACTCACAAATGATAATATATATCCATTTGTAATTTATTAAGCACCGTTGTGTTTTTGATTTATCAGTGTTGATAATGTAGATCTGGTTCTTGTATTTTTAATCCCTTTAAGTACTTGCTGATTGGAGTAAGTCTGATTTTTTTTTTTTAATGTCCTCTCTAAGTGATAGCACAGTGGTAGGGTGTTTGCCTTGCACATGGTTAACCGGGGTTCAATTCCTTCGTCCCTCTCAGAGAGCCCAGCAAGCTACTGAGAGTATCCCGCTCTCACGGCAGAGCCTGGCAAGCTCCCCGTGGCATATTCGATATGCCAAAAGCAGTAACAACAAGTCTCACAAAGGAGACGATACTGGTGCCCGCTCAAGCAAATCGATGGGAGGACAATGCTAATGTCCTCTCTAATGAATGATTAGGTCATCTGTTCTCTGTGAATAGTGCTGCTATTCAGTTTGTATGTGTCTCGGTAGACACACCTGGGCCAGTTTCCTAAGATAGATATCTTGAAGTGAAATGCAGCCACAGAATAATCTTCAATAGCATTCCTTTTGTACTGTGGTCAAAAAGTATGTTTGGGTATTTGCCCACTTTGAGGGTAAAAAAAATTGGAGTTAATGTGTAATTGTTTTTGATTTGGATAATCTGGATATAAATTCTTTGTTAGATACATGTATTTTGAATGCTTTCTCATATCATGTGTCCTTCCTTTTTTTATTCTCTGAATAGTACCTTTTAGTGAACATAAGAATTCTAATCATATTCAGTTTGTCAATAATTTCTTCTGATTTTTTTTTGGGGGGGGGAAGTGGGGAGGGCACACATGGCATGGTGGTATGCAGGGCTTCCCTCTGTCTCTGTGCTGTGGGATCACTCCTGGTGATGCTCAGTTGATCTGACGCAGTGCTGGGGATTGAACCTGGTCCATCTTTTCAAGACAAGCAGTACTATCTCTCTATCCTCTTTTGACGGTTAATGCTGTTCATGTTCTCTTTATATATGTGTCAAATTTGTGGAGATTTTTAAAAAATACTTTTGTATCAAAGTTCTGATATTTATAATAGTTTTTCATATGTAAGTCACTTAGATGTTCTGAATTAATATTTGTGTATGGAGTAGGGGCCAAATTTAATTTTCCCCCTTCAATTTCTTTAGGGCTGGAGCAGTAGTACAGCGGGTAGGGCATTTGCCTTGCACGTGGCTGACACAGGTTCGATTCCTCTGTCCTTCTCGGAGAGCCCAGCAAGCTACTGAGAGCTGTCCGCACGGCAGAGCCTGGCAAGCTCCCTGTGGCATATTGGTTATGGCAAAAACAGTAACAACAAGTCTCACAATGTAGACGTTACTGGTGCCCATTGGAGCAAATCGATGAACAACGGGAGGACAGTGCTACAGTGCTACAGAATTTTTCTTTGATGTAGCAGCTATGATCAAATGACCATTCTTGCCCATGAAATTTCTGTGTAGCCTTTTTTTGTTTGTTGTAAATCAAGTAACCAAATATGTGAGTTTTTATCTGGAGTCTTTATTTCACACAATTAGTATGTTCATCTGTATTTGTTCATAGTTCACTGCCTTAATTTTTGTAGAATTAGTGCTACTCATTATTTTATTTATATATGTTTGTGGTACTAGGGATAAACACCTGCAGGCTCACACATGTAAATTAAGTATTGAATTAAGTACTACTGAACCACATTCCCATCCCTCCTACATTGAACCTTGACTACTGTTAACATGAAATTGTCAGCCTTAGACTTCTTAAAGTTCATCTTGGTTTGTTTGTCATCTCTGCATTTTCATATGCATTTTAAAATCCTGCTCTGATTTTGATGAATGTTAGTCTGCTCAGCAGCCATAAAAAAATTCCAACAGATAAGGTAGCTTAACAAGTTGATACTGACTTGTACCACAAGTGGCTCACATTGGATATGGTTTAATTAATGAAGACTTCAGTGCCACTGTAATGTATTAAGCAATAGGAACTAGTTGGTCTCAGTTCTAGGGAGTAGCAGGTTAGGATGGGGGTCCCAGCTGATTCTGTTTTTGGGTCAGGGTTCTTTACTCTGCTGAAGACAACCTTACTTCTTATTGTGTACACCCCTGATTGTTTGAGAGGGACTGAAAGCAAACTTTCTTGTATTCTCTTTCTGTAAGAGCAGTAATTCCACCTTGAGAACCTTCAGGATCGCTCATGACCCCATCAAAATCTAATATTCAGAGATTTCTCCCACGTCCTAATATCTTACTGAGGTTCTGTTTCAACATAAGCATTTTATGGGAACATGATTAAGTCCATCGCAAAGAAAATATAGTTGGTTTCTGATTATACATTCTGTCTTGTTATTGTCATAATTGTAGAGATTTTTTTCTTTATTTTCACTATCATTTTTTAAGGATGCCTGAAAAGAGAGAATAATGATACATTTCCTTTTCAATAGGAAGTTCCTTTTACTTATTTTCTAACTGTATTTTTTATTTTTATAGATATTTCAGCAATTGAATCAATTGAATTCATCTCATCAGGAAACTGTCATGAAATGCTTGAAAAGTAGAAAAGATGACATCAAGCAGACTTTATTAGAAGAAATAGTTAATATTTCTTCTGCACAGCTAAAGGATTTTGATTGGCAGTTGAAGGTGAGAATCTACTTATCAAAAAAATTTTTTTAAATCTTGTTTTGGAGCCACACTTGGCAGTGTTTAGGGTTTACTCCTGGCTTTGTGCTCAGGGATCACTCGTGATGGTTGGGGGGGGTCATATGGGATGCTGGGAATCAGACATGGGTTGCATGCAAGGCAAGCACTCTACTCACTGTACTATCTCTCTAGCAATTATGTTTTTAATTTTTATTTCTTTTTAATTTTTTTTAATTTTATTTTTATAAAGTAGTTCACAATATTTGATTACATTCAATATTTTAGCACCAATCCCATCAGCATTATACATTTCCACCACCATATTTTGGCTGTTTGCATTCTGAACCCCAACGCCTGTCCCAAAGCGAACCAAAATAATTTAGTTTGTTTGTTCTCATCTTTCTAGTCTTCGACTTTCTAGTCCCCTCTTGCCCCTTACAGCATAGTTATATGAAATCATGAAGGGTGGGGATGCACAAAGGTGGGGTTGAACAGTATCAATACAACAAGCAGATGTAAAGTTGCTCCTTCAGTAAATTAACCCAAGGACAAAATCTCAGCTGAGGGTTCAAGCACTCCAGATTACTTGGAGATCCGCTCAAGGACAGGATTCCATCCAGGGTGTATTGCTTTATCCTTTCCTCAACTAGTAATTCATTTAAACAGTTATAGTAAATTTACTTAGAATATTTCTAGTCATATTGTATGAATACAGAGATATATTAGCTTAAAGATTGACTTCCTGGGGACATCTCACTGTATATTCCAGACTGCTGTCCTTAGGCCAGGTCCTAACTCCAGCAGGGTCGTTATTCAGTTGCTTCTTTTTTGGTCATGACAGAATTTGTCCATGACCATACTTTTTTTTTTTTTGAAACAAACTAACTATATATTTTTATTTATTTATTTTTTTATCATTTTTTTTTAATTAGTGAAACACCATGAGGTACAGTTATAGACTTATAAATTTTTGTGCTTGGGTTTCAGTTATACAATGATCAAGTACCCATCCCTCCACCAGTGCCCATCCTCCCCCACCACGGGTCCTAGCATCCCTCCCACCCCCCATCCCCCCTGTCCCACCCTGCCGCTGTGGCAGGGCATTCCCCCTTGTTCTCTCTCTCTTCTTTTGGGTACTGTGTTTTGCAAGAGAGGCATTGAGTGGCAATCGTGTTTGGTCTATAGAATACTTTTAGCATGTCTCTCCCACCCTGGGAGGATCCTCCCAACACCCCTTGTTTGGTGCTCTCTTCTCTATCTGAGCTTCCTTTTCACCTAGCACATGTGGCACCTAGTCATGGAGCAAAATTCCTGGTACTAATCTCAGCCATTCCTGGGTGTTATCTTCCGTTTTGTTGCTTTATGTTCCCCAGATGAATGCAATCTTTCTGTGTCTATTCCGCTCTTTCTGACTCATTTCGCTTAACATGATACTTTCCATGTAGTACCACTTGTATGTAAATTTCATAACTTCATCTTTTCTAACAGCTACATAGTACTCCATTGTGTAGATGTACCAAAGTTTCTTTAACCAGTCATCTGTTCTCGGGCACTCAGGTTTTTTCCAGATTCTGGCTATTGTAAAGAGTGCTGCAATAACAAACAATTGCAGATGATGACCATACTTTTAATATATTATATTTATGGTGCTTAGCTTGTCTCCTTTCGATGCCAGGGTAGCTTACAGCTTGCCCTGAGTCCATCTAATCCCTTCATCGGGATGCTACTCTTGGAGTGCTAGGAACTAAGGCTTAAGTCAAGTTAATATGTGGATGACCAGGACTAAATATTATTTTGGAGTCAATTAACTCCCATGTTACAAAGCATAGCATGAACTGTATTCCTGTGTCTATACAAAAAGGATATTGCTAAATAAACTATGCAAATGACATAAAGGAAAGAGAAAAGCAGTATAGGATTACTAGTGCTGGATGGAATTGGGTGTGCCTCAGGGGCACTGTTGTGGGAGTAGCTCAATGAACCTTAAGTTCCTTGAGGGAGGAGCAAGGACAACCCAATGTCATCCGAAGCATGGGATATGGCGACATGACTATGGTGAGTTGTTTTCATATGTGTTTTTTTTTTCTTGCTTTTTGGGTCTCACCCAGCAATGCACAGAGGTTACTCCTGGCTCATGCACTCAGGAATTACTCCTGGCTATGCTCGGGGGGCCATACGGGATTCTGGGAATCGAATCCGGGTCGGCCATATGCAAGGCAAACCTGCTGTGCTATCTCTCCGGCCCCACATATGTGTTTTTTTTAATCTCATGTTTAGAAGAGAAATGTTTGTTTAAAGTTTTATACACCTAAAACTTTTATTGTTGTAGAATGCACCACAAAGGTTTCAAAAATAATTAAAATTTTACAGTTTGACTTTACATTAACTTGGATATAATAAAACTGACATCTAGGCCATTTATAATGGTATTATACAGTTATAGACACAAACTTTCGTGATTGCATTTCAGTCATACAGTGATCCATTACCCATCCCTCCACCAGTGCCCATTCTCCACCACCAGTGTTCCCAGTATCCCTCCCACCACGGTCTACCCTACCCCACTGCCTCTGTGGCAGGCATATTCCCTTTTACTCTCCTCTTGGGTAGTAAGGTTTGTAATACAGGTTCTAAGTGGCCATCATGTTTGGTACATAATCTCCTTTAAGCACGCATTTCCCATCCAGAGTGAGCCCTCAAAGCATCATTTACTTAGTGTTCCCTTCTCTATCCCAGCTGCCTTTTCCCCTAGCATGTGAGGCTGGCTTCGAAGCCGTGGAGCAATACTCCTGGCCCTTATCTCTACTATACCTGGGTGTTAATCTCCTATTCTGTGACTTTATATTCCACAAATGAGTGCAGTCATCCTATGTCCCTCTCTCTCTGACTCATTTCACTTAGCATGTTACTCTCCATGTCTATCCACTTATGTGCAAATTTCATAATTTCATCTTTTTTAACAGCTGCATAGTATTTCATTGTGTAGTTGTACCAACGATTCTTTAACCATTCATCTCTTACCAGGCACTTGGGTTTTTTCCAGATTCTGGCTATTGTGAACAGTGTTACAATAAACATACAAATACAGATGTCATTTTTACTGTATTTTTTTGCGTCTCTGGGATATATTCCCAGAAGTGGTATTGGTGGGTCAAATGAGAGTTCAATTTCTAGTTTTTTGAGAAAGTTCATATTGTTTTCCAAAAAGGCTGAACCCATTCCCATTCTCACCAGCAATGAAGGAGAATCCCTTTCTCCCCACATCCATGTCAACACTGGTTGCATTTATTCTTTTTGATGTGCGCCTGTCTGTGCGGTGTGAGGTTATATTTCGTTGTTGTTTTGATCTTCATCTCCCTGATGATTAGTGATGAAGAGCATTTTTTTCATGTACCTTTTGGCCATTTGGATTTCTTCTTAGAGAAAGTTTCTGTTCATTTCATCACCCTATTTTCTGATGGGATTGGATGCTTTCTTCTTGTAGAGTTCAACCAGTGCCTTGTGTATCCTTGATATTAACCCCTTATCAGAAGGGTATTGGGTGAATATCCTTTTCCATTGTGTAAACTGTCTTTATATTTTGGTCACTTTTTCTTTTGAGGTGCAGAAGCTTCTTAGTTTAAGATAGTCCCATTTGTTAATCTGTTTCCACTTGTTTGATCAGTGACATTTCAACTTTGAAGATACCTTTAGCTTCAAGTTGTGTAGGGTTGGTTTTGCTGACCTTTTTTTTCAGTGTACCTTATAGATTCTGGTCTGATGTTGAGATTTTTAATCTATTCTGATCTGACTTTTTTGTTAGAGGTGGTGTTAGAGGTCTGAGCCCATTTTTTTTTGCATGTAGCTGTCCAGTTTTTCCAGCGCCATTTGTTAATATGATCATACATGATTCTATTGTTTCTAGGAGCTTCTTAATAGAGGCTTTAGGGTTCTCTAAATATAGTATCCTGTCATCTGCAAATAGTGAGAGCTTGATTTCTTCTATTCCTATCTGGATGTCTTTAATATCTTTTTCTTCCCTAATTGCTGTGGCACGTACTTCCAGTACTATATTGAATAGAAGTGGTGAGAGTGGGCATCCTTGTCTTGTCCCTGATCTTAGAGGGAAGGCTTTTAGTTTTTCCCCGTTGAGAATAATGCTTGCTGTGGGCTTGTGATAGATGGCTTTGATTATATTGATATGATCATGGTTTTTATCTTTTCTTTTATTGATATGGTGGATTATGTTGATTGACTTGGGGGTATAAACCATCCTTGCATCCCCAGGATGAATCCCACTTGGTTGTGGTATATGATCTTTTTTGATAAGTCATTGAATTCTATTTGCTAATATTTTGTTTAGGATCTTCGCATCTGTGTTTATCAGGGATATCGGCCTGAAATTTTCTTTCTTTCCCCTGTACCCCCACACCTTCTGAAAAAAGAAAAAAAAAGAGAGACTGGTAATTTTGATTATACCATTCTACCTCTAGGGGAAAAATCTATATGAATTAAAAATATACCTGAAAAGTATTTGGAAAGAAAGCTATGGTCATTAGGGATCAAAAAGAAATTCCATATAGCATAGCTAGAACTAGATTTGGAGGAAACAAATATGTCTGTTTTTTTTTTCATTTTACTCTAGTACTATAATAACTTTATTATTATAACAATAACTTTATAGATATTTTAACACTATAATATACTAGTATTATAACACTATACTATCTTTATAGATAATACTCTATTATCTTTGTTGGTAAGAAAAATGCAGAAAAGAAATGGGTCCATTCATAGCAGGTTAAATGACCAAAATCATAATTTCTGTTTTCCAGAAAGGAGGTCTTGTGGTTGGAGAAATAGTACAAGAAAGGGCACTTGGTTTGCCCTTGGCTGACCTGAGTTTGATTTCTGGGATTCCATATTGTTCCCCAATACTAGCTGGAGTGATCCCTAAACACAGAGCTAGGAGGAAGCCTTGAGCACCTCTGGATGTCGTTTTGAAACAAAATCAGAAAGAAGGTTTATGTGATTATGGTCTTGGTTTAAAGGGTTTTTTTTTTTTTTCCCTTTATTTTATTTTATTTATTTTAAAGTTGTAGATTTACAATTTTTTGTGCTTTGGTTTCAATTATACAATGATCAGATACCCATCCCTCCACCAGTGCCCATTTTCCATTAAAGGTTTTTTTTTTTTTTTTTTGCATTTTAATGAGTATTATGCTTATCGGATTTTAAAGTGTAATAGAAAGTTAGAGATGTATTTAATGTGTAATCAATTTTTAGAATTATTTTACAGCAAATCACAGTGCTGGGCCAAATGATAAAATAATTGAAAGAAACTTGAGTTTGCCTTTGCCATCTCCTACTGAAGCTGTTGTTTTCATTTTTTTAAGAGATTAGTATTATAAATTTTCCATTTCCTCTGGGTTAATCTCTTGGGGTAAGGGGAAAGTGAAGTTACATAATTGAGTGTTTTTGTTGAATGGCTCCAATCAAGAGGTATGATGGGATGGTCTCTTGAAAAGTTATCATTAGTTTAGTACAGAGCTGATTATCACTTTAAACCATCCTAATTTCCAAAAAGTTTCCCTGTACTTTTAGTTATGTTTGTATTATACAGATTTCTGTAAAATTCTTGGTATTTTAATTGTGTGTGTGTGTGTGTGTGTGTTGGAAGAGGGAGTGTGTATATGTGTGTGTGTGTGTGTGTGTGTGTGTGTGTGTGTTTGTGTGTGTTGAAGGAGGGAGTGTGTGTGTTTGTGTCTCCATACCTGCAGTGGCTTACTCTCTGCACTCCAGGATCACTCCTGAAGAGGCTTTGGAGACCATGTGTGATGCCAGGGATCAAACCCTGGTTGGCTGTATGTGGATAAAAAAGCCCTACCTGAAAAAAAGTGCCCTTCCTGTGTGATATCATTACATTGTGGTTCCAGTTCTGTTTCTTTCTGTGTCCATTCAGTACTTCCCCACTGTTGGCTTTGTTCTGAATTCCCTCTTTGGGATAAAATTCTGACTGGTTGACTTTTTCTCCCCAGCTTTTACTCCCCATTCCCCCTTTCTTTTTATATTGTGTGTATTGATTGGGTATAGATTTAAATTTTTCTTTATTTTTTTTATCTTTCCACATATAATAGCAAACAGGAATATTCCTTTTTGTTTGTTTGCTTTTTTTTTGGGGGGGGAGCGTCCAGTGGTGTTCAGGGCTAGCTTCTGGCTCTGCATTTAGGGATCATTCCTGTTGGGGCTCAGAGGACCGTATGGGGTGCCAGGGATGATTATATCTGGTTCTGCTATGTATGTGCAAGGCAAGCTGTATTATTTCTCCAGCCCCAGGAACTCTATAAGAAGAAAAGTTACTATTAATCAGTTCTGATACATATTTTAACGTAGTCCTTGTACTCCTTACTGATCACAATCTCCCTAATTTTAAACAGCTAGCTCTTTCTAGTGACAAGATTGCGACACTACAAATGCCACTTTTAAACCTTCATCTCGATGTTAGAGAAAATGGCGAAGTTAAACCGTATTCTGTTGAAATGAGTAAAGAAGAGTTGCAGAATCTAATTGATTCCTTGGAAGCTGCCAACAAGGTATTTGTTATAACTCTACCATATGACTTGAAGTGTTTATTTTTTAATTGATATCAGTAGCGAGATAAGAAAAGCTCATAGTTAACTCTTAGATTTCTTTTCTTTGTGATTTGTTTTTATCAAGTGAAAAAAAAACATTGATATAGTCTACATTTCTAAGTTCAGATATTATTTAACACTTAAAGTTTTTATTTATTGATTTTTTTGTTGTTGTTGCTGGGGGTTGTGGTGGGTGCAGGAGAGTAAATCACTCCCAGCTGTGCTCAGTTTATGCCTTACTCTACTCAGGAGTTACTGTTGGTCAGACCAGACCATGTGTGGTGCCAGGGTTCAAACCCACATCGGCAAGCATGCAAGGCAGGCTATCTTTGTTTTATTTTAAGCAAGATATCGTTTTATTATTTTAACCCTAGTATTATTACTATCATAAGTGTATCATAAATAATAAAGAATGCTTATTTTTCAATCCTATTGACTTTTTTAAAATTATATTTTAATTGAATCACTGTGAGCTATGCAGTTACAAAGTTCACGATTGGGTTTTAGTCATAGAATGTTCCAACACGTGTCCCTTCACCAGTGTACATTTCCCACCACCAATGTCCCCAGTTTCTGTTCTGCCTTCCCTGTCCCACCTCCCTTCTCTTCTCTTCCTCTCACCCTTTCCTTTTGGGCATTATGGTTAAGGCAAGCTATCTTATAGCTATGTAGTATTTGCTATGCTCATTAATGATACAAACCAAATGTTTACCATGGAACTATGAAATAAGTTGATTCTGAAGAGCTTTAGAAGACCATAGTCCGCAGTGCTTGTGGTTACTCCTGGTTCAAAGCTCAGGAGTCATTCTCAGTGCCAGAGATCAAACCTAGGCCTCCCACATGCAAAGCATGCTCTCCTAACCATTGATCTACCTCCTTGGTCTCCATTTCCTTTTTGAAACTCAAAGCATTTTATCTAGTGATTTAATAGCTATCATTAAATTCAGTTATTGGTGCAAGTGTTTGGGCTCCTTTTGGAGGAGAGCAGGGGGAGCATAATGCTTGGTGCTCTGGAGTCACGCCGTTGGTGCTCCAGGACCAAATAGTCCCAGGCATAAAGCCCAGAACTCCAGTGTGTAAAGCATACACTCAACCTTTGACTCTCTCCGCCCCCTGCCCCACACACACTTGATTTAAACACCGTTGTTTACAAAGTTGTTCATGATGATTTGTTACAGGCATTCAGTATCCCAACACCAGCCCCCACCATCACTGTGGCCTTCCCTCCACCATTGTCCCCATTTTTCCAACCACCCCACAAGCCTGCCCCTGCAGATGACCCACAATAATTTATTTTATGCTGTTTGTAACCACTAATGGAATCATCAAAAAATACTTACGTAAAAGAAAATTTGTGAGAATTGTTGTATCTCACTGTCCTCCCGTTGTTCATTGCTCGATTGGGGCCCAGTAACATCTCCATTGGAGACTTTGTTGTTACTGTGTTTTGGCATATCGAATACAGTAACAACAAAGTCTCCAATGGAGATGTTACTGGGCCCGCTCTAGCAAATCGATGAACAACGGGAGAACAGAACAGGACAGGACAGTTGTATCTCACCCATGGTGACGGTAAGTCCTTGTCAGAGCATCGGCTAAGCTGTTGTTGCTAGTTGGGCCATCAGTGTTAATGTTTTTGTTAGTTTTTGTTATTTGAGTTTAGTTGGTTTCTACATTATATTTCCACCCAATCTGATGTGCTCCTACTGGGATGTTAATATTATAGTTTGGAGATGTCCAGAAACCAGAGTATTTAACTGGGCAGTGAGCTTACATGGTGGGATGTTACCTAGCATGTGGGATGTCATCCACCACCCAGCCCCCGAGAAGGCCTGGAGTTTTTAACCAAAAAAAAAAAAAAAAAAAAAAAAACCCTACACAGGGGTACACACCTGAAATTTTCAGCAGTTTGGCATCTCTGTGGAATTTAGTTTTGAGGCGGTGGAGTGTGGCTATAGGCATGGCAGCAGCTGTTGGGATACAGGAGCGACTGCCCAGGTGGGGAACTTGGCCCGATCCCCTCCCATGGTCACTCTGGAGGTCAGAGCCAGGGACTGGTGTATCCATGAAATGTTTGTAGCTAGTTGTTCTCTTTTGAGATTTAATCATGAGTCTCTGAAAACTGAACCAATAGATGAGCTCACATGACGATGGTGAGGTGTGGGTGTGACTTCTGGGTCTTCTGGAAGTAGGGGGTAGGTGAGAGTGGAGGGGGAGGTAGCCCCCATCCACCACCAGAAGGCTTGGAGCTCTCAGCAAAAAATTATGGTGGAAATTTTCAGCAGTTTTGCATCTCTGTGTTGGATCTTTTTTAAAAACCTGACTTTCTGGAAGCAAAACAAAACAAAACAAAACAAAAAAAAACCCGACTTTCTTCCCTAAATATGCTTTGCTTGGCTCTCTCCATTTTTGGAGAAGCCCGCGTTCTCTCTGAGCGCGTTACTCTCTCTCTTACTCTCCATTTCCCCACTTATCGGCTTACCCCTTTCTCTTCCTCCCCAAAAACCTCCAAATAAAATCTGTTACTTCACAAAAAAAAAAAAATGCTGTGCTTTACACAGTTAATTTGGTGAATCAGTGACTAACACAAATGTTCAGCATCCAAACTGGTAACCTCCTTGCTTTTGCCTAGGTCTGATTGCCTGAAGTAGGGATGTGGTTTAGCCTGCTATAGATGTTTCCTCATTCTGAATCAGAGATTGTGGCAGGTATGGACCATCAACATCTGTACATTGTACTTGCTTGTTACCAGTTTTTCAGGTCTCTTTTTAGGAACTTGAGTGTATTTCAGTTAGTAGATACTGGCATCATTCTGACAGAACCTGAGTGATTAACCTTCTCTTCTAACCTGCTGTACTTTGTGTTTTCAGGTTCTCCAGCCTTTGAAATAGCTGGAAATGAGAACCAGCACCAGCAAATTCCACTGGCTACAACTGTTATGCAGAGTGGTACTCAAAAAACCTGCGGATTTTGTCTTTTATATCAAGCTGGGGAAAGCAGTGTTGAGATTACAAAGATCAAAGATAAAAAAAAATCATCTTTTCTGAAGAACAGGAAATTACACAGGAAATGCATTAAAAAATGAAAGAAGAAAAAGCTATAATAGCAATTTATATTTTCAGGGTGATCGTTGTCTCATTAAATATTTCAAAAATCCTTATAGATAGATCATGCTGGTTTATTGAAAGCTAAAAGTAGACTTTAAAGTAATAAGCATATAAAGCACAAATGTACTTAAGTATTGCTTTGAAAAGTTATGTGATTGGCAAGGAAATATACATACTCTGGGGTCAGTAGTTTGTGGTTTTTTTGAAAGATTACTTTTAAAGAATGTGTAAGCTGCATATGTTAACTGAGGAGATTTCCTAACTTTCATATGTCAAAGGAAAGGTTGTAAATAAAAAATTTCTTCAAAAAAGAAGCTCTGTAGGCTTCAGCAAGAAAAATATCCTACATTTATGAACAATTTAAATTACAGAAACTAAAATTTTATACCAGAAGCAGGAAAAAGTGAAAACATATCTGCATTTCTGTCTAATCTAGAAAATGAGCTTTAATAATATTTTGTAGTGTAAATATTGCTGTGTAAATATCAGCCAAGACTGTAGAGGTTTACTTCTGTTATAAATAATAGTGGATTTAATAGTTTTAGATGTTAACTTCATTGGGAAAAAATACATTCTTGATATCATTTAACTAATAGTGAACATTTTGAACAAATAAAAAGTTTGTAGTTTCATATGCTGTTTTATTTTCAAATGACTTCACATAACACAGTAATACATAAATGTTTATCACCTGGTATTTGCAAGCTTTAGAGCCCCATCGAGCATGAGAATATTGTTTGAGGCAATCAGCGCAATGCTTATCATCCAAATGAAGATAAGTTGTAGTACTGTCCTCCCGTTGTTCATCGATTTGCTCGAGCAGGCTCCAGTAACGTCTCCATTGTGAGACTTGTTACTGTTTTTGGCATATTGAATACACCACAGGGAGCTTGCCAGGCTCTGTTGTGCGGGTGGGATACTCTCCGTAGCTTGCCGGGCTCTCTGAGAGGATGGAGGAATCAAACCCAGGTCAGACACATACAAGGCAAACATCCTACCTGCTGTGCTATCGCTAGCTAGGGGGGTTAATAACTGTCTGTCTGTGTTCTAGAACAGGGCTTCTTAAACTTTCCCACTCATGTGCTCTTTTTTGCCTGAGAAGTTTTAATATAGCCTTGAGTATATAGGTATAGATACTAGATATACAAATCAGATATTTACTGATAAGCGTTGAAAAAATAATTTAAACACATTTTTAAGTTGGTGACATTCCCATTTCCTTACATAATGTCATATGGCAAGGATGGTGAACCTCTTTTCTTCCAAGGGCCATTTGGATATTTACAACATCATTAATGGGTTATGCAATATAGGCAGAGGGAGCAAGGGCAGCCATGAGAAGCATACAGGTCTGTCCCATCATGTACCAGTTTACATGTCTCATGGGCTGTGATCTACTGGCCAGATGTTCAGAACCCTTCGAATGGGGTTACATCCCACAATTTAAGAAACTTGAATCTAGATAATGCTACTCAAAATATGTCTGCAGACTAAGGCCTATTTGCTAGAGTTTGCTGATTAGATGAGGCACTTAACTTGAGTCAGAATTTTCATCAATAGATTGAGATAGGGGGTTAGAGGGGGAATGTGGGGGTTAAGGCGCTTACCTTGCATGCTGCTGACCTACCTGGTTCAGTCTCAGCTATCACACGTGGTTCCCTGAGCACAACTGAGTGTGGTCCTCATCCCCCTAAATATACTGAAATATTGCTGTTGATGAAAATACAAACTGATTTAAATAGTGTCTTAGCAAGGCACTGAATATACTGTCGAGGAACTTCCACAAGCTATGGACAGTAAGTTTATCAGACTGTACTTTGAAATCCCGCCCTTTGTATAATACTTCCTTTGAGACAGAACACTGTTTTACTTATCCTCTAAACATGTGCTATCACTCTATTGGTATACTTACCTTCTTTATTGAAAACTGATGAGCAATCTAATAGATACACCTTCACACCATCATTTGATGCAGATAGTGAACCTCACTTGATTCTTGAGTGTTCTATTTGTCATCTCTGCTTCTGTTTTTCACCCCCTGCTACCCTCATAACCACTGATCTCTCTCTGTCTCTCCCTGTCTGTCTCTGTCTCTCTCGCTCTCCTCTGAATTAATTTACATTTTAAAGAGTTGAGTATAAATGGGACCATATAGGGGCCACTCTGTCAAGTGACTTCTTTAGGCTTTATTTTGTGTTTCATCCACATCATTTTTTCTATCAAGTTCACTTCTTTGTTGTTGTTCAAAATCTTCTGATGTCGAATTTTGCAATAATTGCTCAGGGACATCTCTTGAGGTTTTTTTTTTTTTAAATTTTATTAAATCACTGTGAGATAGTTACAAGCTCTCATGTTTGGGTTACAATCACACAATGATCAAACACCCATCCCTCCACAGTGCACATTTTGTACTACCAACGCCCCCAGTATACACCCCCTTTCCCATCCTCCCCCTGCCTGCATGGCAGACTCTTGAGATGGTGTTTTGGGGTTGTTCCAGGCAGTGCTTAGGGACTATTTGAAATTCTTTTGTATAGATTGGTCTTTTCTTTATATAGTATCAACTCATGCATATTTATTTCATACTTTGGGGTATATTCCAGTACTATTTGTTATTCAGATTGTTCCAGCTTTGGCCTTTGGGGACCTTTCAGTTGACATCCCCGTGTGACTGGGAATGGGTTCCGTTGATTGCTTAGCTTTTTGACTACACAAGATGCTCCAGGCTCATCCTACATCCTGCCCAGTTCTAGCCATTTCTGTAAGCAACCCCGTTTTTTCTTTCATGAAGCATGGTACTAGAAACTATGACAGGTGTGCTTACTGTGACTTGTATACTGTTCCTTTTAGACCCGTGAGCTAATAGAAATGTTTATATACTAACTCTTGTATAAACATATTTGTAGGTTTTTATAGTCACATGTTTTGAGATTAAACATGAGTTCATATATGCTGAGACTGTTTATTAATTCCTGCTGCATGAGTCATTCTACCTCTTATCTATAAACCGCATCGGAACATTAATCTGACTCCCACTATTGATTAACAATTCACTATTTACCAGATATATCTGGTAAGCCTCTGTTTGCTTGTAGGCTAAGGCTCTGCTGAAAAAGTGATTCCTATTTATTTTGCCGCGTAGAAGTTAATGACTCAAAGTGGTCATTAATTCTGTTACTTTATTAGATGGGTGGGTGTTAAAATATTAATATACCAGGATTAAGACTGATTATAAGCTATTGTGCTAAACATATGAATAAATTTAACACCTTGAATCTGTTTATTTTCTTATGACAATATTTTTCTGCAGGGAGGAAATGAGTTTGGAAGTTGGAATTCTTCAAATTAGGAGGCTGACAACTAGGCAAACTAATACATGCAGTGGAAATTTTTTTTGGGCGGAAGGTCACACCCGGCCATTCACAGGGGTTATTCTTGGCTATGCACTAAGGAATTACTCCTGGCAGTGCTTAGGCAACCATATGTGATGCCGGAAATCGAACCCAGATCGGCCGTGTTCAAGGCAGATGTCCTACCCACTGTGCTATTGCTCCAACCCCTGCAGTGGAAATTTTATAAAAAATTGACTTCGTGTTCTTCACAAATGTATGGTATTAAAGTTTAAGTATTATTTTTTCAGTATAAGGAAATGCAATTCTTTTTTCTCCCCAAACCCTCATATTTGAAGTTCAATCCTTCAAATATTTGTAAGTTCTACTATTTCAAAGGACTAAAAATAAGCTCCTGGAAAAGTGCTCACCTCATACCTCCATTCCTGTTGTTAGATAATAGTGCAAAAAATATCTTCCATATAAAGAGATTTAAGTTTGTATTGAATCTCACAATAAAAGTTCTCAAGTGATTGAGAACCCTTAATATTCTTTTTTTTGCCCAGTTCTGCCTTTTATTATTTTCTATTTTTTTAATTTTTAAAATTTTATTGAATCTCTGTGAGATACACAGTTATAAAGTTGTTCCTGATTGGGTTTTAGTCATGTTCCAATACCATCCCTTTACCAGTGTACATTCTCTCTCTCTCTCTCTCTCTCTCTCTCTCTCTTTCTCCCTCCCTCCCTCCCTCCCTCCCTCCCTCCCTCCCTCCCTCCCTCCCTCCCTCTCCTTTTGGCATTATGGTTTACACTACATGTTTGTCCCTTTACCTACATTTAGCACTCAGTTCTATTCCATTGTGTATCTGTACCATAGTTTCTTTATCTAGTCATCTTTTGAGAACCCTTAATATTCTTTTTTTTTTTAAATTTTATTAGTGAAACACCATGAGGTACAGTTGTAGACTTACAAATTTTTATACTTGGGTTTTAGTTATACAATGATCGAATACCCATCCCTCCACAAGTGCCCATTCTCCACCACCAATGATCCCAGTATCCATCCCACCCTGCCTCTGTGGCAGGGCATTCCTTTTTGTTCTCTCTCTCCTTTTGGGTGCTGTGGCTTGCAAAAGAGGCATTGAGTGGCAATCATGTTCGGTCTATAGTCTACTTTCAGCATGCATCTCCCATCCTGGGAGGGTCCTCCCAACACCCTTTATTTGGTGCTCCCTTCTCTATCTGAGCTGCCTTTTCCCCTAGCATGTACAGCTGGCCTCTAAGCCATGGAGTAAACCTCCTGGTATTTGTCTCGGCTATTCTTGGTGTTAGTCTCCTGTTGTTACTTTATATTCCCCAGATGAATGTGATCTTTCTATATCTGTTCCTCTCTTTCTGACTCATTTTCCTTATCATGATACTTTCCATGTAGTACCACTTACTTATATGTAAATTTCATGACTTCATATTTTCTAACAGCTACATAGTACACCATTGTGTAGATGTACCAAAGGTTCTTTTACCAGTCATCTGTTCTCCGGCACTCAGATTTTTTCCGGATTCTGGCTATTGTAAACAGTGCTGCAATGAACAAACAAGTGCAGATGTCACTTCGACTATACTTTTTTGCCTCTCTGGGATATATTCCCAGGAGTGGTTTGCTGGAGAACCCTTAATATTCTTAAGAATTACAAGGTCCGTCTGAAATATTGATGCCAATAAGCATATAGTACAAAGTAAGCTTTTATATGCAGCCATATTTAATTAAAAACATTTTATTTGTGTTTCAGGAATAAACAAGCTAACAGAAATTATACATATTTACAGCAATAAAATACAATTCAGAAGCTGCACAACGGCTTTTGTGACTAGCTGATGACTTCTGACACCAGCCTTCACATGTGTTTTCTTCCATTTGCCACAACATAAAAAATTTTGTAGTGCTATAGCAAAGAAAACCACAGCATGTTTTTATAGCAAAGCCACAATATTAACAAAAATAGCTACTGAACTACAGTCTGGGGACTGTTAGTGTCTCTGTGAGTCCTGAAATTGAGAGCACAAGCGTTTCTTGTGTCCTTACCTGATTGCATGTAAATTGGTTTCACATTTTACAAGAATATACAAGTACTCAATGAATGACTAAGAATAGAAAAAAGACCATAAAGGATAAAATGGTCAGGAATCAGAGAACATCAAACAGTTTCTTATTCACTGATTCACTGCTTCAAGGGACTTCTTTTTCTTCTTTTTTTTTGTGTAGAAATCACAGTCTACAGTCTTCATGGATTTTGTCC